AGGAGTTCGAGACCAGCGTGGCCAACATGGCAAAACCCCATCTCTACTTAAAAAAAAAAAAAAAAAAAATTAGCTGGGCATGGTGGCAGGCGCCTGTAATCTCAGCTACTCAAAAGGCTGAGGCAGGAGAATCACTTGAGCCCAGGAGGCAGAGATTGCAGTGAGCCAAGATCATGTCACTGCACTCCAGCCTAGGCGAGAAGAGCAAAACTCCATCTGAAACAAAATAAAACAAAACAAATAATCGTGCTTATATATCTATGATACTGTTACTAGTAGTTCCCTAGGTACCTATAGATTAGAATGATGTGTGCATATGTGTGGTTTCAATTTCCAGATTGTGAGATCATTTAAAGAGAGTCACAGCAAAGTATCCTGGCCTAGGAGTCAGATTTTGTTTCAATTTTTGCCTTTAAATTACTGTCTGACCTTGAACATGTCACTTACTTGCTTAGACTTCATTTTCCTAAGCAAAAATGTAGGAACTAGATAATTTTCAAGTCTCCTTTTAACTATTAGATCTGATCTACCTAGAGTTTTAAGAAAAATTAATAAATATATCATATGTGAAGATAAGATTTTTGAGAGATATCAGAGGGCATATCTGAAATAAATAGTTGTAAAACTGATGATTACTTTCTGATTGGGCAGCAGAAGATAGAAAGCAGTGGTAGATGTGTGGTAATCCTGCTGGTCTTGACATTTTCAAATACTAAACCACTAAATTATTATGGCCAAATATGAACTACAACCACATGGGAATTTAGGACTTTACAGTACTCCAATCTTTTACTGAAGTTGAGTATAGTTTGATCAAGCTAGTGCATGGTGTTTCTGTTGCCTCTGAGAAAATAATGCACATAAATGCCCATGTAATTGTCATTTTAAAGACACATTTTTGAAATGTTTACTTTTTAGAGCAGTTTTAGGTTCACAGCAAAATTGAGCAGAAAGTACCGAGAGTTCCTGTATACCCTTTGCTCCATGCACATACATAGCCTCCCCCATTATCAACTTCTGCAACCAGACCGGTACATTTGCTACAATGGATGAATCTACTTTGATACATTATTGTCACTCAATGTCCATAGTTTACATTAGAGTTCACTCTTGATATTGTACATGCTATGAGTTTGGACAAATGTATAATGTGATATGTATTTACCACTTATAGTGTCATACAGAATACCTTCTTTTCCTAAGAATTATCTGTGCCCTACCTGTTTATCCCTCTCTCTGACCAACTCCTGACAACCAGTGAGTTTTTTTACTGTCCTCATAGTTTTGCCTTTTTAGAATGTCATATAGTTAGAATCATACAGTACCTATCTTTAATAATTGGATTCTTTAACTTAGTAATATGCATTTGAGGTTTCTCCATGTCTTTTTGTGACTTGATCTCTAATTTCTTTTAGTGCTAAATAATATTCAATTGTATGGAAGTACAATAGTTTATTTATCCATTCACTTATTGAAGAACATTTTGGTTGTTCCCAGCTTTAGCAATTATGAACAAAACTATTATAAATATTCATGTATGGGTTTTGATTGGGACTTAAGTTTTCAATTTATTTGGGTAAATACCAAGGAGCATAACTATGGGATCATATGGTACAGATATGTTTAGTTTTGTTTTAATAATTGCCAAACTATCTTACCAAAGTGGCTATACTATTTTACATTCCCACCAGCAATTAATGAAAGTTACTGTTGCTCCATATCCTCACCATCATCTGGTGTCAGTATTTCAGATTTTTTCCATTCTAGCAATTGTGTAGTGTTATTTCTTTGTTCTTTTTTTAAATTTGCAATTATCTGTTGACATATGATATCGAGAATCTTTTAACATGCTTATTTGCCAACTGTGTATCTTTGTTAAAATATCTGTTCAGGTTTTTAGCTAATGTTTTGATTGGGTTGTTTATTTTGTTACTGTTGAGGCTTAAGAGTTTTTTGTATCTTTTGCATAACACTCTTTTATCACGTATCTTTTCCAAATATTTTCTTTCAATGTATGAATTGCCTTTTTATTCTCTGGACTATTTTTCACAGAGTGTAAGTTTTTATTTTAATAAAGTTTAGCTTATCAATTTTTTCTTTGATGTTGTATCTAGAAAGTTATTGTCATATCCAATGTCATCTATGTTTTATCCTATGCTATCTTTTGAGAGATTCATAGTTTTGCATTTTTATATGCAAGGGTGCAATCTATTTTGAGTTCATTTTTGTGACGGTGCAAGGTCTGTGTCTGTATGTATTGTTTCACATGTGGATATCTAGTTGTTCCAGAATCATTTGCTTAACAGATTATATTTTCTTTGTTGTATTGCCTTTGTTCCTCTGTCAAAGATCAGTTGACAATATTTATATAGGTCTACTCAGGACTCTCTGTTCTGTTTCATTTACCTATTTGTCTACATGTATTCCAATACCACACACTCTCTCGGTTGTTATAGATTTATAGTGATATTGATGTGAGGTAGTATCAAGTCTTCTGACTTAGCTCTTCTTCGATATTGTGTTCACTATCCTGGGTCATTTGATTCTCTATAAAAAGGCAGGAATTTTGATTGGGATTGCAATGAATCTATGGATCAAGTTTGGAAAATATACCTTGACAATATTAAATCTTCCCATTCATGAACATGGAATATTTCTCTATTTATTTAGAATTTTGATTTCTTTAATCAGAATTTATAGAATTCCTCATATAGATCTTGTACATAATTTTTAGATTTATATCTATGATATGGCTTGGCTCTGTGTTCCCAACCAAATCTCATCTCAAATTGTAATCCCCATGTGTCGAGGGAGGGACCTGGTGGGAGGTGATTGGATCATAGGAGTGATTTCCCCCATGTTGTTCTCATGATAGTGAGTGAGTTCTCATGAGCTCTGATGATTTAAAAGTGTGTGGCAGATCCTCAGCCCTTGCCAACATGTAAGACATGCCTTGCTTCCCTTTCACCTTCTGCCATGATTATAAGGCTCCTATGACCTCCCAGTCATGTGGAACTGTGAGTCAATTAAGCCTCTCTTCTTAATAAACTACCCAGTCTTAGGTAGTCCTTTATAGCAGTTTTAAAATGTACTAATACAGAAAATTGGTAACAGAAAAGTGAAGTACTGCTGTAAAGATACCTGAAAATGTGGAACTGACTTTAGAACTTAGTAACAGGCAGAGGTTGGAACAGTTTGGAGGGCTCAAAAGAAGAAAAGAAGATGTGGGAAAGCTTGGGACTTCCTAGAGACTTGTTGAATTGCTTTGACCGAAATACTGATCGTGATAATGGACAATGAAGTCTAGGTTGAGATGGTTTTGGATGGAAATAAGGAACTTACTAGGAGCTGAAGTAACGGTCACTTTTGATATGCTTTAGCAAAGAGACTGGCAGCATTTTGCCTCCCTCTTCCACCTAGACATCTGTGGAATTTGAACTTCAGAGTGATGATTTACAGCATCTGGCAGAAGAAATTTCTAAGCAGCAAAAAAAAAGCATTCAAGAAGTGACCTGGCTGTTTCAAAAAGCATATAGTCGTATGCATTCACAAAAAAATGGTATGAAATTGGAACTTATGTTTAGAAGGGAAGCAGAGTACAAAAGTTTGGAAAATTTGCAGCCTCACCATGTGGTAGAAAAGAAACACCCATTCTCTGGGGAGAAATTTGAGCCACAAGCTGCAGAAATTTGCATAAATGAAGAGGAACCAAATATTGATTGCTAAGACAATGGGGAAAATGTCTCTAGGGCATTCCTGAGATCCGCACAGCATTCACTCCCATTACAGGCCTGTATACCTGGAAAGGAAAAATGGTTTCATGGGCCAGGCCTAGGGCCCCACTGCTCTGTTCACCCATGTCCCAGTGGCTCCAAGTGCAGTCAGTGTTAAAACGGGCCAAGATACAGCTTGGGCCTTGGATTCAGAGGGTGCAAGCCCCAAGCCTTGGTGGCTTCCACATGGTGTTGGGCCTGCGAGTCACAGAAGATAAGACTTGAGGTTTGGAAACCTCTGTCTAGATATCAGAGAATGCACAGAAATGCCTAAATGTCCAGGTAGACGTCTGTTGCAGAGGCAGAGCACTCATGGAGAACCTCTACTAGAGCAGTGCAAAGGGGAAATGTGTGGTAGGAACCTGCACACAGAGTAACCACTGGTGCACTGCCTAGTGCAGCTGTGAGAAGAGGGTCACCATCCTCCAGACCACAGAATGGTAGATCCACTGACGGCTTGCACCATGCAAGCCAGTGATGTTAGACAGCAAGTTTTATTAAAGTAGCAGTGTACAGCAGCAGCAAAGGCAGTGTTCCTTTTGGAACAGGTTTACCCCATAAGCACTGTACCCAGAGTAGCATCTCAGAGGTGGCTCTGCAGCAATATTTTTAGCCACTTTTAACTTCATGCAGTTTAAAAGATGAGTTATTTGGAAATTTCTAGAAAAGGAGTGGCAACTTCTGGGTCATCAGGTTGTTGCTGGGGAAACAGATGGTAACTTCCAGATGTTGCCATAGCAGTGGTAAACTGACATGTCACTGGTAGGCATGCCTTTTTTTTAAACATTTAAGTTCAGAGTGTGTAGGTTTGTTGTGTAGTTAAACTTGTGTCACGGGGATTTGTTGTAGATGTTATTTCATCATCCATTTATTAAGCCTTGTACCCATTATTTTTCCTGCTCCTCTCCCTCCTATCACCCTCCACCCTTCAATAGGCCCCAGTGTGTGTTGTTCCCTCTAAAGTGTCCATGTGTTCTCACCATTTAGCTTCCTCTTATAAATTATAAACTAGTGCTTAGTTTTCTGTTCTTTTGTTAGTTTGCTAAGGATAATGGCCTCCAGCTCTATCCATGTCCATGCAAAGTACATGATTTTGTTTTTCTTCATAGTATTCCATGGTATATATGTACCACATTTTCTTTATCCAGTCTGTCATTAATGAGCAGTTGGACTGATTCCATATCTGTGCTATTGTAAATAGTACTGCATTGAACATACATGTATGTGTATCTTTATAATAGAATGATTTATATTCCTTTGGATATATACCCAGTAATGAGATTGCTGGGTTGAATGGTATTTCTGTCTTTACGTCTTTGAGAAATCACTGCACTGTCTTCCACAATGGTTGAACTAATTTACACTCCCACCAACAGTGTATAAGTGTTCCTTTCTCTCCACAACCTCACCAGCATCTGTTATTTTATTTTTTACTTTTTAATAATATCCATTCTGACTGGTGTGAGATGGTGTCTCATTGTGGTTTTGATTTGCATTTCTCTAATGATCAGTGATGTTGAGCTTTTTCTCATAGGATTGTTGGCCACATGTATGTCCCTTTTACAAAAGTGTCTGCTCATGTCTTTGCCCACTTTTTATTGAGGTTGATTTTTTCTTGTAAATTTCTTTAAGTTCCTTATAGAAGCTGGCTATTAGACCTTTGTTAAATTCATAGTTTGCAAAAGTTTTCCCCCATTCTGTAGTTTGTCTGTTTACTCTGTTGATAGTTTCTTTCACTGTACAGAAGCTCTTTAGTTTAATTGGATCCTATTTGTCAATTTTTGCTTTGCTGCTGTTGCTTTTGGCATCTTTGTCATGAAATCTTTGCCTGTGCCTATGTCCTGAATGGTTTTGCCTAGATTGTCTTCCAGGGTTTTCATAGTTTTGGGATTTGCATTTACGTATTTAATCTATCTTGAGTTAATTTTTGTATATGGTGTAAGGAAGGGGTCCAGCTTCCATCTTCAGCATATGGCTAGCCAGTTATCCCACCATCATTTTTTGAATAGAAAATCCTTTCCCCATTGCTTGTTTTTCTCGGATTTGTTGAAGATCAGATAGTTTTAGGTGTGTGGTCTATTTTCTGGGTTTTCTGTTCTGTTCCATTGCTCTACGTGTCTGTTTTTGTACCAGTACCATGCTATTTTGGTTACTGTAACTCTTCAGTATAGTTTGAAGTTGGGTAGCATGATGCCTCCAGTTTTGCTCTTTTTGCTTAGGATTGCCTTAGCAATTGGAGCTCTTTTGGCTTGACTGTCATTGGTGTATAGGAATGTTAGTGAGTTTTGCACATTGATTTTGTATTCTGAGACTTTGCCAAAGTTATCAGCTTAAGAAGCTTCTGGGCTCAAATTATGGGGTTTTCTGGATTTAGCATTATGTAGCCTGCAAACAGAGATACTTCCTCTCCTACTATTTGGATTCCCTTTATTTCTTTCTCTTTCCTGGTTACCCTTGCTAGGACTTCCAGTATTATGTTGAATAGGAGTTGTGAGAGATGGCATCCTCATTTGTACCAGTTTTCAAGGGGGAATACTTTTGTCCTTTCAGTATGATGTTGTCTCTGGGTTTGTTATATATGGTTCTTATTATTTTGAAGTATGTTCCTTCAATACCTAGTTTATTGAGAGATTTTAACATGAATGAATGTTGAATTTTGTCAAAAGCTTTTTCTGCACCTATGTGGGCATGTCTTATGGAGAGAGGTACTTTTGACTTCCCTGTTTCCACTAGTCTTCAATCTGGTCTGAAGCCCAGACCCTGCCTCTGTGGTCAAGTCCTGCCTTTTACTTCAGTTGTAGACATTTTAATATAGGAAATGGCATTTTTTTCTCCCCCTAAAATGGATAATTTCCATTCAGGTTTAAGAGGGAAGAACAACATTATTGTGGGAGTTTTATTGTATTGAATAGATTTTATAAAGTTTTTCTTCTAAAGATGTTTCTCTGAAACAGAGATTATTTTATTTCTCCCAATATATATGCTATCAAAGAGGTAGCAGAAGTTGAAAGAAGTTCAAAATACTATCTGAAATTGTCGAGTTATATAAACATTTGATTGCAACAAGCAAGTCCTTTGTAAAGCTGTAAAGCATTTACATCACTGGAGACAGTTTTATTCAAAGTTTCTACTATTTTACATAGTCTACTTATAGAGACATTTGTTTTTGAAACAGAGTAAGGGATAACCAGAAGAAGCTATATTCAATCTGGATAATGGTGTACATTTATTTAAAATGAAAGCAGTGTGGTGTAAACATTCAAAGAATTTTTATTTTTCAGAAAATCTGGATCGATGTTTCACTACTGTGCTACACACTGTAATTACCTGGACAACTTAGCAAGGGGAAGTTCAAAAGACCAATGCCTGAGTTCCACTCTCAGGATCTGATTAATTGGTTTGGGGTCAGGCCCATACACTGACAATTTTAAAGAGTGCCTTCAGATGATTCTACTGTGCAACCAGGTTAAAAACCAGTGATGTAAACCAAATGATTTATTTAAAGCAGACATAATGAGGTGGATGACTAATACAATTTTGTTCATTTTGTAGCTTTCTAGAGGCAGGTGTCCGTGCTACACATTTTCTGGGCCCCCAGCTGCTGCTCTTCTTTCATCTGGCACATTTCCCTGTGCCCTCTCTTTATTGCTAGGCATGCTAGGGAAAAATGGCAAAATGAAAAAATCTTCCCTCTGTGTTACTTCTCATGAATTATTGTTGTAAAATTTGAGTGAGAGGAGGAGGTGGGAACGTGAGAATTGAACCACAGGCTGAAATAAAAATTTGCATAAATTTTAAGATCTCATTACAAAATAAAATATTACCTTCTTTTACTAGTCTAGCTCATTAATATTTGGCTGTATAAGGAATTATGATTACCACTTATGAATATAAGCATAGTAAAAGTATTATAACACTAAAACATCAGTAAAGGAATTTGTGAAATAGTGTTTATTGATAAAGTTTTTTTTTCACCGCAGAACTTTTGGTTTATTAACAGTTTTATTATTTGTTTAAATTTGTTTATGTACCTTTTGTAACTGTGTGTTTTTAACAGCAGAAACTTCAAACACAGATATTGACAACATCGTGGATCCTGATGTGTATTCTCCTGACATTGAAAAAATTGGGGAAAACACCTCCTTTGAAATAAATTTAAAAGAGAAAAGTACAGGTTTAGAAAGTAATCAAAAGTCTGATGATTCTTGCATATCACTTGAAAGCAAGGATACTTTGCTAAGTATAGATTTAGAAAAACCTCCCATTGAGGAGAAATTATCTCAAGACATCAAAGAATCCTTGGAATTCAGCAATCTGCATAAGACACCACGCTTTGAAGATTCAAAAACTACAAAGTCATCACTGGTAAATCTCTATTATGTTTATTATATTAGAATTTTATAAGAAATCTTATAAGAAAATGTCTTAGTGACACAATACATTCTCAAGTTACTTCCTATTAAAGTTAAAATGTGCTGCCTTACATTATTATGAGATAGTTGAAGAGTGACTCATATGGAAGAGAACATTAATGACTTCTAGGACAAATTCTAATATGAGGAATGCCATTTTAATAAATGGCTTGCTGTGATAAATAATACTTTAAGGCCCACCTTATGCACTATAGTAAGAGCACTGTTACTTTTCCAAATGAAATTCATTATGAATAATACAGTATAATAAATCCTTTCTAATTTTTTACGATAGTATAGTCAATGGTCAAAGTGAAATAAATGCAGATATCTAGATAGAACCAGTTACTGTGGTTTAATGTAAGTATAAGATGAAGAAGGTAATTATTTCAGGAAGATGGCTAATAAAGAAATGGAGTTGTAGTTTTTGTTTCTTCTCACAGGAAAGGTAAAGGAAAAGTTGCTCATTTTTTCATTGTTACCACGTTATAAAACTATATTTGAATTTCATTCTATATACTAGAAATCTTTACTAATTGTTAATATTAATAATACATTCTTTGGAAATTTAAGTGAGGCAAATATTTTTAATAATGCTCAAAAGTCATATAAAATGAATTCCTATGGTTCCTGAACTGAAGAGGGAAGCAAAAAAGCAGAAGGATGAATACTTGAGTTGTTTCTACTTCTGCTTGGAGGGCTGGTTTTCTGTGCCCACTTTGTTACAGATGTTGTGCCTTTGTGAGATACGAAATTGAAACTGAGGCCTCTGCAAAAACTTAGACCCCTAAATGTCTGATCAGTCATGTAAGGAATGCACTAGGAACATGCACATAGGTGCAACAAGATGAAAGGAAACTGATTTCTGCAAGTGATCTTGGCTAGGTCAATAAAACATTTCACCTGGAAAATAGATGTCTTGGGCTTTCATTTAGCATAGATTTGGATATACCTACTCAAATATACATTTGCGTATATATTTCTTGCTTGTCAAGCCAAGACATTAACATTATTGTTAATCCATGCCTATTAATACCCTGATGTATCTGACAGAAGTAAATCCTAATACTTTATAAATGGACATCCTTACAACTTATCCCACAATAGATTCCACAAAATAAAGCTCCACTTCAGATGGGCTTATCTTCTCGTTACCTCAGTGAAGAAAATAATTGATCATAGCATGAATTTCAGCAGAGAAAACAAGAACTTCAATTTCCACATTTCCAAAGGGCAACATGAAGAGTACCAGGTGACATCTATATATACAGTGAGCTGTGTGATAAGTGAGGAATCCTGACCTTAAGAAGCCCGATCTTTTACACTGGGCAGTAAGCCTGCCAGACCTTTGTCCTAGAGGAAGACTATCTTTATTACACTAGACAGTAAACAAACCTGCTCTTTGCTCTAGAGAGAGACTCAATCTCTGTCCTCTGAGATTATATTTAAAATGTTTAAAAATAGGAAGAAATAAAAAGAACTTAAGACTAAGATAGTATGAACTGCTCCATTTATGAAGGCTAATAAAAAGTTCTAACATTCAAAATATATTTATTCAAATTATAATTAAATGGATACTAAACAGCATATTAAATACAAATAAGGAGAGAAATATTACCCTGGAAGGTAAGTTTTAAAAATTGCTTGTATTGCAGCAAAGACATGTGAAGAGTTAGTAATATGACAGATTGTAAAATAACCAAGTACAATTCCAGAACATTATAAATAAAAACAAATCCACATTATGACTTTTGTTTGAGATACCTCATAGACAATCTTAAAAACAATAAAAGACAATAGAAAATTATCTCCAAAAGCAATTACTAGATTGACAGTAAAATTCTCATGCACAGCAACAGGGAGCCTCAACAGTGTAACACAGTGGAACATTATCTTTAAACTTCTAATAGAACTGACTAACAATCTAGAATTCCAAGGCTTGCAAAACTGTCATTCAAGACCAAGAATGAAATAATGGCAAGTTTAAACAAAAGTTCAGGTAATTTAGTTATTTCCCCTCTTGAATGAACATCTGAATGATATACTTCAAAAAAGAAATTAAACCCGGAAGGAAGAAGTAGGATGCAAGAAATAATGGTGTGAGGGAAAAATGAAAAATACATTAGATGTATTACAAAATAATTATTATAATGCCCAACTTGAGAATTACAAAAGAAGAAATTTGAATGAGAATAATATGTGCCATAACTTGTAAGACTGTTAGATATGTATGATTACAGTTAAAAGTACTAAGATTCTGTATTATAAAGAAGGTAGAGACCATTGTAGGAATTGTTGTTGACTTAGTGTTTTAGTTATACATGTTAAATACTTTGAGTAACAATTAAAATGTTACAGACACAATGTATATCATCCAAAACACTAAAGGAAAAGGGGAATATAGAAAACTCAATTAACTAAAACAGTCAGGAAATAAATGCATCAAAGGAAAAATAGTATGGTTAAGTATTGGGTATACAATTCCTCTTGGGTCGCTCATGTTTTTTTGCACATCTTTTGAGCAAAACCACTGACTCTATTTGTTCCAAAGTATATTTTCAAGAATGCTTGTATAGATAACAGCTTTGAACGATAGAGATTATGTCCCTCTTCAGAGCAAAGACTAGGTTCGTTTATTGTCTGGTATCATATAAATAATGTTTTCCCCTGGCAAAGGTCAGGCAGGGTTACTGCCCAGTATAAAATGGATTTCCTAAGGTCAGGATTTCTCTCCTGAACCACAGCTCAGGGTATGTGCAGATGTCACGTGGCTCTCTTCATGATGTCCTGTGAAAATTGGGTTCTGGGAATTGGTGCAAATGATGATACTCTGGCAACTGCTATTGTTGTGAGTGAGAAAATCCTTTGTCTCTGACCAAGGAAACTTGTATCTTCTTCCAGCATACGTGAAACTGTAACAGGTTTGCAAGTAGGGTAAAATCTCAGACCCTTCACTGTTCTTGACAGCAAGTAGAAAGACTAAAGCAAGCTGACAGGAATAAATTCAATCATATAAGTAATTAGAATAAATGTGAACTGTGTGTGTGTGTGTGTAGAGTTATTTTACCAGACACCTGCTTAAAACATGGGGTGGCAGGAAGGTATTTCAGAGTAAAGGCAAGCACTAATTAAAAAAAATAAATAAAAATTTAAGGTAATAAAACATTATTGGGGTAAAGGGGACCATTGTGTAGATGTTAAAATCATTTTATTTAATAGGAAGATTAAAGAAAATCTGAATTTGTGTGTACCTATCAATATAGCCTCAGATATATTGTAGCAAAAATGGACAAAATCACGTGGTATTATTGACAGATCCATCAATCTAATATGATTTTCTATTAATAAAGATAGAGAAGATTTGATCAATACAAATAAGCTTAAAGAACATATTTAGAACCACATGCTCAATAATTAGAGAATGTGTGTTCTTTGCAAGAACAAATGGAACATTTGCAAAATACATGTTACAAAATATTACAAAAATAAATCCACAAAGGAAGTTTCAACAAATGCTAAAGAAATCATATTACACACTGTGTTTTCCAATCATAATACAATAAATTATAAATTGATAGCAAAATGCTAACAAAATTAATACAATTCAAATATGTCTAGGTTTTTATTTATTTATTTTAATTTTATTTATTTATTTTTTTGAGACAGAGTCTCGCTCTGTGGCCCAGGCTGGAGTGCAGTGGCGCGATCTCGGCTCACTGCAAGCTCCGCCTCCCGGGTTCACTCCATTCTCCTGCCTCAGCCTCCTGAGTAGCTGGGACTACAGGCGCCCACCACTACGTCCGGCTAATTTTTTGTATTTTTAGTAGAGACGGGGTTTCACCGTGTTAGTCAGGGTGGTCTCCATCTCCTGACCTCGTGATGTGCCCGCATCGGCCTCCCAAAGTGCTGGGATCATAGGTGTGAGCCACTGCACCGGACCAAATATGTCTAGGTTAATGAAAAAAATTAAAATAGAAGGTAGAAATATTTAGAACTGAATGTAAGCAAAAACATCACAGATAAATAATGTATAGGATGAAACTCAAATACTACTTACTGAGAAATTTATAATCCCAAATGCAAGAAAAAAGTAAAAATTAATGAACTATGAATCTGACTCAAAAGCAATAAAGCAATCATAAACTCAAAGGAATTCACTGGAAAAACTCTTTCCTGTCATTCTCTTCAATTCAGCAGGAGAGGATACGGAAATATGTATTGCCCTCAGGCCCTGCCTATTTATCCAATCCAGGGAAACTTTCATTTAGTTACATAGTCTGATGATTTGCATCCCATCGACTTTCTGGTCTACTCTCAGCTGATCAGAGTCTGTCAGGATAGCTGTGACCTACATAACACCAATAATTTACAGAAGGGTTCCTTTACTTCTTTTATGTGTTAATACATGCTACCCTATTCAATTAATGTAACAGGTGTGTCATTAGGTTTAGCTGTTTCTTAAAAGGAAGGTATGTGACATGAACATACAGAGGGGAACAGTATACATTGGGGCTTATCAGAGAGTGATGAGTGGGAGGAGAGAATTAGAAAAAATAACTAGTGGGTACTAGGCTTAATGCCTGGGTGATGAAATAATCTGTACAACAAATCTCCATGACACAAATTTACCTGTGTAACAGACCTGCACAAGTACCCCTGAACTTAGAAATTGTTGGGGTTTTTTGTTTTGTTTTGTTTTTGTTTTGTTTTGTTTTTTGTTTTTTGTTTTGTTTGTTTTTTGTTTTTTTTAAAAGGCTGGACGCAGTGGCTCACCCCTGTAATCCCAGCACTTTGGGAGGCCGAGGTGGGTGGATCACAAGGTCAGGAGTTTGAGACCAGCCTGGCCAACATGATAAAATCCCGTCTCTATTAAAAATACAAAAATTAGCTGGGCGTGGTGGCAGGCACCTGTAATCCCAACTACTCAGGAGGCTGAGGCAGGAGAATCGTTTGAACCTGGGAGGTGGATATTGTAGTGAGCTGAGATTGTGCCATTGTATTCCAGCCTGGGTGACAGGGTGAGACTCCATCGAAAAAAAAAATGAGAATGTGTGTGTGGCTGGGATACGTTCTTGTTTTATTCAATTTAAGACTATCCATTGCTCGGTATAAAATATTGCTCAGTATAAAATATGTTCTGACAGAGCTAGTTCAGGAAACAATCTGAATGAGTATTTAAGTGCATAGGATCCATAAAGTTCTCAGCAGCTCAAACCTGCTGACATAATCAAAAGCCAGTGACTGTTGTAAAATGGCTTACATGGTTATTGTTTTTTTCAATTAGGTGAGACTAAATGTAGTCCTGGACAGTAATAAAATAGTGTTATGTAAAGATTGCCTTTTCCTCATGGGGGATATTGGATTGAGAGATTTGAAGTTTTTTCAGGAATAATCTGTCGTAGGATTTTAGAAGTATTCTCAACAAACTAATGGGTTTCTAACTCCAGGATTGCCCCTTATATAAATAAAATAAAGAATGTTTTAATCCATTCCTAGGTAATTATATCTGATGAATAAAAAAGTGTAAATAGTTTCACAGACATTGTCCACCACTGGTAAGACAGGACTTAAGCTGAGCGCCAAAGGTTCTCCTGAGCATCTTATTACGGGAGATGGCCAATCTCTGTAAAGAATTAACTTGTTGGATCACAAGAGAATTTGAAGAGTTGCAAAACAAAAGGTGAAAAGCAGATGGAAGGGAGCTGTAAAATAGAGCTTTCTGAAGTGGCCATCAGAATTGGTGCTTCACAGTTTGCAGACTGAGTTCCTGCTTCTGAATAAAGTGGTTGAATCTACTTTCTTTTCATTCCTAAGAACTAAACCTGAACCTATTTTACTCTTTTTCTGTCCTAGTAGAAGTCATTCCATCAGAAGAAACTACTTATAAATCTATTATGCTCCATCCAAATTGAGTATAAAATTGTTTCTTTTGTACTTCAGTTTTTAGAAAATGATTTCTGTGTAAGGTGGAACTTCCTACAGAATTAAGTACTAATTTGTAGGGCAGTAGCTAGGAAAACAATGGACTAGTCAGGTGTCCTTTGTTCTGGCTCTAAAACTATCAATAGTTAACGTTGTAAGTTTGTGCTAAAAGTAATAAAACATAACTATTTTAGGATTTTTATCTGTAAACCAAGACATTCAAAACTCTTCCAGATTTGCAATTGCATAATTCAAATATAAGCTTCACTGGAGTGGAAAGAATTCTATAATTGTTTATCAGTGTCTGGGAGGGCCAGGGAATATGTGCTTAGAATTTTGGATTTGGATTTGTCTTTGAATGACATGCTTTATTGGTCACTAGCTTTGTTCTTTAATATTATCTCATTTATATAATTTATAAATTTATATTAAATTAAAGTAATTTGGTTTACATTGATTTATTGCAACAGACTATATTTGGGCATTAATTAGATTAGATTCATTAGGGAATTGTTAAAAACTGATAGCTACTCTGATTATACTATAACCTCATCTAGAGCTATTACTAATGAATTCCTAATCTGTTTCTACTGGATTCACATTTTTTAAAGTTCCAGTTATATTCAATTCTAAAATAAGAACATGTAAAAATGACTTAATAGGGTGGCAGGATAAGTCTACGTTTCAAATCAGTCAGACCTATATTCAAAGCCTAGGTCTGCTAGTTTCTAGCTATATAAACTTCGTAAATTACTTATCTTCCTCTTGCCTCAGTTTCCTACTTGTATATTTGCTTCATGATGAGTGTTTTGTTAACTTACATTTTTTTCCATGACCATTGTCAGGTCAGATATTTCCCATTGGTATTTTACCTTCAATTTTGAAATTATTTTATATATAGACAAAGACACTAGTTCACAGCCACTGCATGTGGAAGTAACTCTGAATTCCAGGATAATTTATGTGCAAGGACACTGAGGGATGAAAATAAAGGAAGAAAAAGAAAAAAAATTATTTTATTTCATGAATTTCTGTCCTTTTTGGATTAATATCAACTTTCAGAGAATCATTATAACAGTAGTTAGAACTTACTATATACAAAAATGTTGTGTTACTATTTGTCTCCACTGTTAGAAACTAAACTTGATGAGGGAAGAATTTGTGCCAAGTATATAGTAGGTATCTGATAAATGAATATGCTTGTTTGTGTTAATGAGTTAGAAAATAAACTTTATAATGTTGAATATTTTGTTTCTTAGTTGTTACAAGAAATAGCCTGCAGAAGGAAGCCTATAACAAAACAATATCAAGGACTTGAGAGATTCTTTATTTTTGATACAAATGAAAGACTCAACTTACTTCCTTCTCATCGTTTAGAATGCAACAGTTCCAGTACTAGGATTACACTTGCAGGTAAAGTTCTAGCTCATTTTTCTAAAACAGTCTGTTCTCATCTTAGGAAACACTGGGCAGTTCTGTTCAATGGATAAAATCATTTTCTTCTTGCCTAAAATTATTGACCTTGTATTAGTTGCTATATATTTACATTTAAGGTTACTATCAGAATGTGAGAAACTATGACTTATAATGAAACTAGGAAAGATTATTTTTAGCATTTAGAAGTGTGGTTATTTTAGACCTTTTAGTGTTGCTATAAAGGAATAACCAAGGCTAGATAATTTATAAATAAAAGAAGTTTATTTGGCTCAGAGTTCTGCAAGGCGTGTAACTAGTATGTGCCACCATCTGGTTGGTGTTTTACATTACTGCCAATAGTGAACAAAAGTTCCGATTGTTACGCATTCTTGACAATACTTGTTCTTTACTTTTTTTGGCAGGGGCGGGGGAGAGTAGTCATCCTCATGGGTCTGAGGTGGTATAATATTGTAGCTTAGATTTGCATTTTCCTCATGATTAGTAGTGTTGAGTATCTTTTCATGTGCTTATTAAGTCATTTGTATATACTCTTTGGAGAAATGTCTATTCAGTTACTTAGCTCATATTTTAATTGGGTTATTTGTTTTTTCATTGTTGAGTTATAGGAGTTCCTTATTATATTCTGGATACTACTACTTCATAAGATATATTATTTGTAACTATTTCCTCCCATTCTGTGGATTGCCTTTTCACTCTGTTGATAGTGTCTTTTGATGTAATTTTTTCCAATTTTTATAAAGTCCAATTTGTCTATTTTTGTGGGTGCTCTTGCCTGTTCCTTCAATGTCATATTTAATAATTCATTTCCAAAGCCAATGTCATGGGTCTATACTTCTAAGGTATTTGTAGTTTCAGGTTTTATATTTAGGTCTTTGATCAATTTGAGTTTATTTTTGTACATGGTTTTAAAAGTCCAGATTCATTATTTTGCATATGGATATCAAGTTTTCCAGCACCATTTGTTGAAAAGACCTTTCTTTCCCCCATTGAATGGTCTAGGCACCCTTGTCAAAAATTATTTGGCTAAGAGAGTAGATTTTAAGTTTTCTCACACACAAAAAAATTATTGGTGAGTTGAGATATATGTTAACTAACTTGATTTAGCAATTCCACAATATGTACATATTTCAAAATATGTTTTATACCATAAGTATAACTTTTTTCAAATAATTGTAATTTGATCATATGTGTGAGGATATATTTCTGGGTTGTTTACCACATTTCATTGGTCTATATGTCTGTCTTTGTACCAGTATCACACTGTTTTGATTACAGTATCTTCGTAATAAGTTTTGAAATCAGCAAGTGTGAGTCTTCCAGCTTTGCTCTTGTTTTTAATATTGTTTTGGCTATTCAGGGCCCCTGTTGATTGCATGTGAATTTTATGATTTTTTTTTAATTTCTATGAAAAACGTCATTGAGTTTTTGATAGGGATTATATTGAATATGTAGATCACTTTGGGTAACATTGACACCTTAGCACTATTGACTCCTCCAGTTCATGAACATAAGATATGTTTCCCTTTACGTGTGTCTTCTTTAGTTTCTTTCAACAATGTTTTACAGTTTTCATTGCATAAGTCTTTCACCTCCTTGGTTATGTTGATTTCTAAGTTTGTTTCTTTTTGATGCTATTGTGAATGGAATTGTTCCTTTAATTTCCTTTTCAGATTGTTCATTGTTAGCATATAGAAATACAATTGGTATTTGCCTATTGACTTTGTATCTACTACTTTGCTGATTTCATTTATTTTAACATACTTTTGTGTAATCTTTAGTGTCTTCTACATATAAGATCACATCATCTATGAACAAAGATAATTTTACTTCCTCCTTTCTAATTCAAATGTCTTTTATTTCTTTTTCTTGTCTGTTCTGGCTACTTATATTGAATAGAAGTAGCAAAAGCAATCATCCTTGCCTTGCTCTAGATCTTAGGAATTGTTCTTTTTTTTCATCATTGAGTTTCATGTTTGCTGTGGTTTATTAACATATTACTTTCATTATGTAGAGGTATTTCCCTTTTATTCCTAGTTTGTTAGGTGTTCTTATCATAAAAGTGTGTTGGATTTTGTCAAATGCTTTTTCTGCATAAATTGGGATGATTATGTGTTTTTTTTTTTCTTTCACTCTATAAATGTGGTATATTACATTGATGGATTTTCATATGCTGAACCATCCTTACATTTCAGAAATAAATGTTATTTGATCATGATATGTAACCCTTTTTAATATGCTGCTGAATTTGGTTTGTTAGTACTTTGAAGATTTTTACATCACTGGTTATAAATGATATTGTTCTGATGTTTTTTTACTTGTAGTGTCTTTGTTTGGCATTAGTATCCGTGTAGGTGTAGACTCACAGTTTGAGTTGGTGTCCCTCCTCTTCAATCTTTTGGAAAAGTTTGAGGACTGGCGTTATTTCTTCAAATGTGTGATAGAACTCACCAGTGATGCAATTAGGTCCAGGACTTGTATTTATTGGCAATTTTTTTCTTGCAGATTTAATCTCCTTACTAGTTATATATATTCCATTTTTTTGTTTCTTCATTTTTTTTTTAA